CTTTCATTCTAGAATGAACACAAATTATGACATGAAAACACAAATGTTTAGACTAAATAGCTTAAATCTCATAACATTATACATTTATATATATTTATTATTTTTATTATATTGACCTTTCAGCCGTACCTGGCTAAAAATACAGAAGTTAGAATGATGCGGCACACGTGCACTCATGTTACTGTATTCAATAACATAAAACTGACCTTTGGTCTTTACAAAGTAACCTGTCTTGGCTGTGTTTTAGTAGACTAGTACTTTGTAAAATACAGTCACATTTCAATTATTATACATTATATATGTATATAGATTATTGCTATTTAGAAATAAGTTCTTTAACTTATTTTTCTTAAAACACAGAACAGTAAATAAAGAACTAAAGCAAACAATTATCTCTTTTTGTTACAACCTTTGTACTCGGTTGCTGCTTGACATAGGTTGCTAAGCCTTTAAAAATTTTGCACGTGGAGGATATAAAACAAAATAATTTTTTTTTAGGTTTTATATATATATATATATATACTGTTGAATAACCAAACAATCATAAATTAATATATTGATACCACAGAACTCAATTACAATTTATCAATTTTAGTAACAAGGCTGTATTTGGGTCTAAAAATATAAGAAATTTCGAGTAGACTAAAGACTTGACTTACCTCTATGCCATCATGTATAGAGAGAAAGATATAATGACTTTATATTTGAAAATGGCTGAGAAAGCCACTAGGGGGCATTCTGAGCTTTCAATTGGTTATTCTTGTTATATATAGAAGTAAGTATATATAAGGGAGCATTTCCAAAAATGGAAAGAGGTAGGTGGTGAACTACAGTTTTTGATTTATTACATGAACAATATCTTAAGAAGAAGAAAAGATAAGACATCCTTATTTTATATTCTAGCTTGTCAATATTGGTAATTTGAGCTTCTAATTTGTACGAAACTATAGACTTAGTATTTTGACTTCACAAATATCTCATTTGAACCAGTGCTGCATTCAACATACCACAGGACACACAACAATTGATGTTTATCTGTGTTTTTTTATATTTACTTTTAAATTAATAAATTGAGCAATGTATAGTACAAAAATTTGAATTATAATCCACAGTTTGATACCAAACTTATTGAAATAGATTCATGAAATAGTAGTTCAATAATATTTCAAATGTGAGTAAATAGACGAGATGACATGGCTTTTCATCCGTGACCCTTCTCGAAAGGGTTAAGTGCTTTCAATAGGAGTATTCAGAATTTGCTGATTTTTGTGCTCATTAGCAATGATAAAACTGCATACTGGGGTTTTGTTACAGCTTTTATTGGCATATTCATGCATAATATGTGTAAAATCCTAATTGCAGTATTTGTCATTTATTGTATTATTGATTTCATGTCAATCTTGAATAGATATGTTCCTAATTTACATTCTGAATAGAATTTTGGGACATAACCACTTTCGGATCACCACTAACCTTGTTATTATAATTTCACTGAATTGGCAAGCAATTGTGCTTGTTTTTTCAAATTAAATGATACACTGTGATCCAACATTCTGTTATACAGTCATTTTCAGCTGAAATTGTGCCTAAATAAATTACTTGAAACATATATATATTCTATAAACTTTTTTCTGGTGCTAGGCATATGAAAGTATTTTGTGCATAGGTTGAGTACATTATATTGAAATGATTTGAGCCCCATAATGTTGTTATATTCTATGTTGCCACATCTAGTCATGCTCTATCTAATGACCATGCATCTTGACAATATCCCTGCAATGTAGTTTCCACTGCAAAAGACTTTCATGTGGCTGTCATATCCAATATGCACCACCCTATTGCGATGTACTTTCCATAAACCATCTAGTGTAAAAGATGATGGTTTCCCAATGCTCCTTTCAACAGACCAATTGCTCAGAAATCCATAGGTGCTACATCTGGCAACTTGGCTGGTATGTTTCATGTAGGATAACTGGAATACCTGTTTCATTCTCCAACTGCAGTAGTTGGACAGATATGTTGTGCAAGCAACTTGTGTACACGTGAACAATGTTGCTTTTTCAGGCAGAGATCATATTTTGGTTGTGTTACATACTGTTGCTCAGAGCACATGGATGGCTTTTGTCTTTGTGTTCATGGATTCTCAAATTTTGCAAGACACCACACTGCTTAATACAGATGGTTTATGACTCATTGCATGTCTCTTTGTGGATGACCCTGGTGTCCAGAGTGGATCCATATTCCTTTGTTTTCCAATGCCATTATATTCAAGGGATATGCTAATCTTAGAAGTCATAAATCCTCTATCTAAAAATGTATTTTTGAGTTTAGTGATATATTTTCCATGGATGGTGTTCCATGAAATGCAAAGTGTCAAAATGTAGTTTTGGTACATCCTGGTCCACTGCAACTTTATATTGGCTATGTTTGTCACATGACTTGTTGATTTGCATATTAAAAATCATTTTAATACAGTGTTCTCAACATTATATATTTAAAGCATTTTTATTTATTACTATAGGTAAAGCTCGTGAATTAACATTGATTTAACTGTATTATAAATTGGATGTGGAAATTTTATTCAATGCTTAATATATCTTGATTTATTTTTCTGTTTTAGTATTACATGATTATTCTCATTTCTGTGTAATTTTTGGTTAAATACTGTGTTGTTCTGATTAATGAATAATATCTTAAATGTAGTCTCTAAAACTTTGTTTTAGAAACTATGTGCTTGTTTGTTTCAGTATATATTTCATGATGAAATGGATGTACACACAACAAATTGGTTTTATCTGTTTAATGTTATACATTTTAAGTAAAGAGTCCACAGTATTTGTTAACCGGTTGACTTCAAATTTTATATATTTTTTTTGACAAACAGTAGTGCTGTATATAATTACTCAACAATCTTCCCTCAGTGAATACTGAACTGAAGGCTGAGAAGTAGATTGGGACTTAGTTATAATATCACATATTTACGAATTAGAATTTAGACTGAAGTAAAAATTATATATTCAATATTAATATATTTTAATCAGTAGGAAGTAATTTTGCATATTATTAAAATTAGCAAAGGCAACTTTTGTCACAATAGAAAGTGGAAAAATGTCCTAGTGGGAACATAACAGTAATTAACTGCTTTTTACCAAAATGTGTTAAAATATAATAACTTTTACAAAAGAAAACAACAACTATAATAACAATAAAAGGTTATTTGTCTTTTTGAAGATTCGGGGTATCACATGTAAATTTTGCATCAAATTATAATAATTTTGTATTTATGATATCAGGTGGTTGAAAAGACTCAATTTCCATTTTAGTTTGTGGTGCCCGCTATAAGACGAGACCTGGATTGTCTTATCATTACACACACAGCCACAACAATAGCTCTGACACTGCAGAAGAAGAACCAAGCTATGTTCCTCCAAAAGCGGCACTGTCATCTTCACTTTCTCACTCTCCTTCTTCCTCTACGGGAACACCGGCAGATGACCCGCTGGCAGGTTTGAGGAAATTTCAGGACAGCTTCTTGTCCTTCCTAAACAGCCCAAGTAATGGTACGGCAGACATTCGCTTCCCATTTCTTCTCCCCTTTTCAGCATCGTAACCTCTATTTGGTTAGGTATTTCTTGCTGATTTTTGTTTCGATACATGAGCCTAACACTTTTTTTTTTTGTTGTTTCTGCACCCATTAATTTTTCTTTAGTTTGTATAGAGGTACAGTAAACTGTTATAACATTTTGTTAAAATACATGTCTGATGTTTATGTTAAGATATATCTTTTATAAGAAACTATTCAATATTTACAATTATGGTACATTAATTGAAGCCTGAATGAGTTTGAAATTCATTGAGTGTAAATTTGTCTTGTGTTTGCATGTATTTATTTCTTTAATAAAATAACTTGCATCTTTCTTAAATTTTAGCAGCCCTGGTATTTTCAACGAATTTTTACTTACCTAAGGTAGGAGTATTATGTTAGAAGCTCAAAACAAAGGTAATGTAACAGTTTTGGATTAACAGATATAAAACAAATTTCAGAAACACTGTTTCACATACAACATTTTACATTCGTATGAAATTTTATGTTTTGTACACCAAACTTTGTTGAAATTATAAAATGTTTTGGATTCCAAGTACACTGTATTTGATTAATGTATACAGAATTAAGGTAATCAAAGTTATACTAGTTCTACTGTCACATTCTGTATTTTTTCTTATCAGTTATAACAGAATCCTAGCAGTTTCAAGTAACTTCTTATTTTGAAATATATTTTATCTTTTTCATTTATCACATGAAATGTATCTTTCACAACCAAGGCCAATGTTTTTGATGATGCTTGCTTTGCCATAATTCCAAGTTAATGTTATTATTGTAGTATCTGTAATTTAAAACATACAGTCAAAATATTAAAACAAATATATAAAAAACAACCACTATTGTGCAGGGTTTGAATACATTTCCTTTTAATAATTTGCCTTGTTTGTTGTCTGAGTCAGTAGAATAGACTTCTAGTAGGTAAATGTAAAAGTAGACTTATCTTTTGATTCAAAAATCAAAATATCAATTTAGGAAGTTATTTGGGATGAAAAATATCTGCTTTGTATACAAAATATTGGTTATAATACATTTTGCTGGATATGCAGTAATTATATTAAATGGATTATGTTCTGTAACTGTCGGAAAAAATTACAAACTTTGTTAATAACATGAACTGTTGGTGGAGGTATCCTGTCAGTTACTATCAATAGTCAGTATCTTATGTACTCTCATATAATAAATAGTTAGGTAACTTTTAGATCTAATCTTTACATAGTATTCTGAACTTATTACACTACATGTGTGCTGTTTTCGTTTCTCTCTCTCTACATTTTGCTCATCAATTGTATTATTGGAAAGGGGTGAAAGGTTTGTTAGTGAGTATGATACTACATCACAGAATTGAGGGAAGGGAAGATGTTTAGTTCATTACAAAATCCATCAATTTTTGGCTATAAAATGTCTGTCAGATAATAATAATAATGTTGCTGGACAAATAATGAATATATAGGCTAATTACAGAAAATGATCAGTCATATCTTGCTCTTAAGCACATCAAGAGAGTGTAGGACAGTATTATTCTGTTTCAAGTTGGCTTGTATTTTAGTGCTTTTCTCTAATTGTTTCACTTATGTGTCAGAATACTTTCTACAACTGTCACAATTTTCTACAACCACTGTATTTAAGTATCATTGTATTTGAAAGGAGAATAAAAATCAGATATTTCTGTAATGAAAAAAGAACCTAAATAAAATAAAAAATGTATAGTAAGTAGAACAACAGTCAGTTGTATTTGTTTTATCATTTCATGTTGTTTAAAATCAAAATTAAATTAATCTGCATATAGAATAAAGTGCATGTATTCATATGCCTTAGAACATTTTTTTTTAGAGATGTTATTTGCCAGTAGAATTTAAGAAGAAAATGCGTAAAGTGAAGCTGTACTGACAACTTACAAGGTAATTTAAGTTTGACATTACTTTGGATCACCTTCTTCAGGTCAGTGGGGTGTGGTAATTTGTTCAAGAACAAAAGATTTTAATCTCATTGGTTGAAAAGCCTGTTACGAGGTGGCTGTTAATTCTATTGGTTGAAGATCTTTTTATATATACATATATATATATATTTTATCATTGCAATTCAGACATTGTTAGTATATGTTCCTTGGTCTCAGTTCAATGCTGGATTTAGGTTTCTGATGTATGTAGTTTCTTTTATTTTTAATTTCTGCCAGTTTTTTCTATGACAACACTGCATTTACTCCCAGTCTATCTTATGTCCCATGTCAGCAGCATGTTCTGAAATGGTGGAGATCTTGGTTTTTCATTAATTGAACATTGTGTCGATGTTCTTTTAATCATTGTCCTAATTGTTGCCTTTTTTCTCCTGTATATTTGTATCCACAGTTGCAAGAAGCTTTATATATTTCTCTATTTGTGAGTTTATCTTTATGCTGTTTGATGTGGGTTAAGAGGTTACTGAGGTATTTGCTGGACTTAAGTTGAACTGCCGGATGAAATCTCTTATGTATTCTTTACACCATATAACTGAGTTTTAGTGGGGAAAAAAAGGTGATGCTTGTTCTTGGTTTTCTACATGGTTCTCTTGAGAATATTTTGGTTTGTATAACTTGTTTGATCATGCTTTTTTGGTATCCAGTGGATTGAAAGGTGGTCTAGTTCCTGATTCCAGGGAGGGTTTTTATCACATACTTTAATTGCTTGGTTGTGGACATAAGTAATAATACTTCGTTTGATGGCTAGTGGATGGTTGGACCTATAGTTGAAATACTTATTGGTATGTGTTGGTTTTATGTAAGTGCTGGTTTTAAAATGACTATCTTGACAGTAAATCGTGATGTCCAGGAAGGAGAAGGGTTTATTTTCTTCAAGTTGAAAGGTGAACTTATTGGTATACTTGGTGGTTAGATGAAATATAAAGATCTATTCTTTGTAAATCATTGGTCCAAATGACAAATGTATCATTTACATGTAGTTTTCAAAGTTTTAAAGGCTGTCAGTTGGGCACAGGACATCATTTCCAAATTTCTTCACTGAGAATGGAGGGAAGACAGGGGAGATCTTTACTAAATCATTATTTTGTTCATAAAATGAGTCTTAAAGATGAAAGTATGTTGTATTTGTACACAAGATCAAAAGTTCCATAATGGTGTCAGCAGATAGCATTGTGCAGGTGGTTAAGGATATACCTTCTAATCTATTGCAGACTTGGAGAAGGATCTCGCGTACTGGAATGTTTGAAAACATGTCTTGTGTGTCAAAACTGGCAAGTATATCACAGAGTTTCACAGGTATTTTGGTTATTTTTCAAACAAAACTCTTAAAACTGCCGCTTGTTGCTGCTTTTGCAGGGCCAAATAATTGGGACTTGGAACTTAGTGATGTAATGACATGATGATTAAATAGTAATGACTATTTAGAAGTACATCAGGTTTATAGATTTTAGTGAGACCATATGTGTGTGGAGGTCTGGAACCTGCTACTTGCAAATTTTTGTAACCTTGCTGGATTTGAAGAAGTTTGATGATTTTGTTGGCCCATTTTTCAGTGTCTAACATAGGGTTTTGGTTCAATTTTCCATATTTTACATTCTGGACTAGATTATGTAGTGTGTCATAATAGGATGGTTTGTTTAATACCATGATGATATCACCTTTATTATGTTTTAGTTGTGTCAAGAATTTTCTTCTCTTCTCTTCCTGAATGCTATTATTTACCATTAGAATAGTCACCTCTCAACCACTGTTTACAAATAATCAATGCAAAATGATAAGTGCCTCAACTACAGGTCCAACCAACTGTTAGCCGTCAAACAAAGTATTATCTTGTCTCTCTATAACAGAGCAGCTAAAGTATGTGATGGAACCTTCCTGTACTCATAGATTAGACACATTGAAACCACCTTCCGATCCACGTGATCAGACAAGCTTTACAAACCATAAGAATCTTGAAAGATTTATCCAAAAACCAAGAACAAACATCACTCTTCTTTTTATACAAAGATTCACTTATATAGTGCAAAATGCAAGAAATTTCAAGTGCAATTTTGACCTATGTTTTGTAAAGCCTTTAGTAACCTCAACCCATGACAAACAGCCTAAAGATAAATTCACAACTAAAGAAGTAATATACAAAACACTGTACTCATGGAGAAAAATACATAGAAGAAACAGGCAGATGTTTAAAGCAACAATTAAAAGAACATCAAAATGCTGTTCAATCATTTCAGAACATGTTGACAAGGGAAATAAAATAAGCTGAGATAAAATGCATCGTTATTGAACAGAAAAAAAAAACCTGAAAAAAGAAAAAAAAAGATGTATACATTAAAAACCTAAATTGAGCAATGAACTGAAATTAATAAACAGAAATTGATAATATCTAGATTGCACTGATAACAAAACCAGTCATTCATATGACAGGATCTTCCACTAATAAGAATCAAAAGCCAATCACAGTAACAGGTTTCCTGATCAATAAGATTCAAATACTTATTGAAAACTTTTGTTTTGTTCTTGAACAAACTCCACACATTACCATGCCATACTGACCTAATGAAGGAAGACAAAGATGATCCAAAAAGTCGTTCAACGTAAATTACCTGGCCACTTGTCCATATAACTTCACTTTGCACATTTTGCTATCATACTTTTACCTATCAGAATCAGTGATTACATTAATGAGAGTGGCTTTTTTTACACCAAGTTTTAAGTTTGGTGTCAACTGAAAATATTTTAAATATTTTAACATTAAACATGACAAGCTGGATATATAGAGATTTTCCAAAATCATTTCTTTCAAATTTTAAGTGGGAGTTTTTGGAAACAAAGTCAATCCTTCTTTTTGAAAAAATAGCTAATATTACTAGTATTTTTGAACATATGTACAAATTGATCAACTTGCTGTTCTTTACATAATTGTATTGATGATCTTAAGATTGGATAACCTCACTTTAATGTAAGTTATTTTGGTTTAGGATTCTGTTGTTGTTTTTTTC